TTTAAGGACCTTCAAATTCCTGAAAACTGAGGTGGTTCACTAGTACCTTTTTGCAGCTCCACAAGAGTTTACAAGTCTCACCAAATCAAGACTGGTTAGTTAACACGAATCAGCAGAAGGAATCAGCAATAGTGCAATATGCCCCTTCCAAGCCAAGCAGCTCTCATTTCCTCTTGGTGTGATTTGTCATTTGACATTTCTACCATTTCACTCAATAGCTCAATTTAGTACCTCAGTACTTTCCAAGAAAAGGTGATGGCTCATCGTTGACTTTTTGTAGTTCGAGATACGGTAGATGTCATAGGTTCCCAAGCGAGAAGTTTTTTCGGGTTAGCGCTACAAATTTGAAAATGCAGAGAGACGATCGATATTCTATGACATCATACAGACGATCGATAATTAATTAATACTTATCTTATCATTTACCACTACATTTTATTTATCGTTGATGTCACAACACCAGCCAGAAAACCTCCAAGTAACCGAAGCGTCATCTATGACTGCTATTTATAGCCCTTGGCACGTTTCCAAGTGGTTTCCGGCTTACGAACGTGTCCTCAATAAACTCATTGGGAACACACGTAGGTCTAGTGTTATCTACAAATATGGGGCAAACCCACATCGATCGACCCGATCGATAGGCTTACCTCATTTACTTTCTCGCAGACGTCTCATCACCCCCGTTGTTTGTATTGCGATGTTCGTTCTTTTCGAAAATAATTCTCCCAGATCGATTGGTTCATTTCTTAGAACAATCAATAAGTCAAGTCGATTCTGTGCTTTTCTACCGCTTCAAAGTCCTCCCCATCTCAAATGATGATGCGTTATACAACGGATTTTCTATTCATACCACCGCCGTTGCCAGGTGTTCCTCTTCCACCATCGCCAGATTTACCCCTTCCTGGTGAGTTTCACTTTTTACTTGCTTCTGTATTATCGATCGCTTTTTGCTACTACTTCGTTTTATTACCAAGTAATTCCTCAGCGCGCCATTTTGGTCTGCTTTTGATCTACTGGCTTTGACTTAGCGTGCTATATTTCGCAATATATTCTAGGATCTCAAGGATTTTTAAAGGGTTTCCTAGGGACTTAAAGACAGATTCCGCTGTAGTTGGGAGGGCAGGCTTTACGAGCCTTGTGCTTCCTTGAAGCACTTTCCGCTTCACCGTAGTAAAAGAACGTACTGACCAATGAGAAAGAACTGGTACTTGTGACAGATCTCCCCTCCCGACTGGTTATCGCGGAATATGCCTTCAAGTACCAAAGAATGAGTAACACGCCAAAAAAAATCCGCGCCGCAATCATTAGCCACAGCACGGTATTGGGGGAACGGTAAGCGGCGAAGCGTCTCATACTGTAGCGGGTGGTATCATGCAATTTTTTCTGTTGAACCTGTTTTCCCTACGCCTGCCCAAATGGGCTACCATGTTCTGATCTACAATCCATATCTGAGGGCAACAATGGGCGTGGCTGCGAGACCGCAGGGTTGCAGACGAAGGCGAGGGCAGAAACTGACTTATTTTCAAGGGAGAGTCTGGAAGGGATCACGCAATTGGAATATGCCTCAGTTGGTTCGCGGGTGAGGGGGGGGGTAGGTTCAAATAGTGCAGACACAGCGAGGCCTTCTTAGCAAGCATCCTTGTGAAGACCTGGCGAACCTTCCTGCAACTGGTTATGGCTCAACTTGTAGCCATCTCGCGCTGTTGCCATAGAGTTTACAGGTGTAACCTGTTTAGTTAACGAATGTATAACAGGCAAGAGGAACACGAAAGGCAAAATGGCCCTAGCGCGAACAGCGCTTGAAAAGTGGGTGTCCGCGACCGCACGCGCAGCTGTCACCTGTTGTGCACGCTGCCTTGTTGTTGTATCTACTACAAAACCTAACCTCAATATTTCTTACCAGTCAAGAGAGCTAATCTAATAGGCGGTCTTTAGGTCCGACAAGCCGACTAAGTCAATCGTTGCTTCACTTGCACGTTGTCGGTTCAACGCCACATTTCACTCCAATCAGTGTCGGTGGCAGTCCGATCACCTCCAACTGGATGTGTCGCTTTCAGCGGCAAAAGTCTCCGCCAAATGATCTCGACACGAAATCTCTCATTACGGTATTGAGAGATATGCGCCTTACCGAAGAACAACTAGTAGCCAACAGGTATTATTTACTTTCAGTTATCAGGGAGTTTTTGAGTCATTGAATTTTCTCATGTTCAGTTTCCCACGGTGGAAAAACGGTGACCGAACGACAGCAGTTGTAGAGCCAAGCTTTTTCGACACGATTACGGGACGGAGGGAATTCATTCCAGATGATGGTATGATTATTTTTCATTTATAATTAGCTATAATGTGGAAATGTCAGATAACTTTTGGCTACTTCTTCACTGATTTTATATTGATTTTGTAGACACGCGACGCAGATGCGTGCGTTGCCACGCCCATTATCGACTGCCCACCGATGGCAGAAAACGGGTCGATTTCTGCATACACCACGCAGAACCGGCGATATATTCCTCAGGTAATGTCTGGAAAGTTATATTCATGGGGTAAAGACCACTCAAAAAATCAAGCGGTAAATGATCAATGCCTTCCCGACCTAACAAAAAAAAATACCGACTGAACAAAAAAAGCTGGACGAATTAATTCATGGATGAATTAAAAAAGAAAAGGAATTTGGGCGCATTTGGGCTTGAGGGAGGGGCATTTTGCACTTTCGCGAGTTCATTTTGCTACTTCATGTTTTTCTACAGGTTATACTTTGTTGAAACCTGTTAACTCAGTGAAGCTGCGGAAAAGTGAGCCAGCCACTTTGCTTACATTAATTTGCAGGTCCTCACTAGGTGGCCTGGATTACTTTCATTGAGTGGCTGTTGTTGCCCCCATCAGACCAAACCGCGCCTTTTGATTCTTTACTATGTGTGAAGGTGATAGCTCATTGCAGTAGTTATAATCTGGTAGTTTAGATGTACGAATTCATCCGTGCTGTGGACGAGCACAAGGAGTAGCCGGTTGTCAACATTCTGACAGTCATGTGACGGATACCATGCGGGAATCTGTTTTGCTTGAATTCCATGCCACCCCTGAGCCGACAGGTCCATCGGATCCTCGATCCGATGCGGTGAGTCTAGATAAACCTTCTCTCCCGTTTTCATATTGAAGTGTCTTTTTTCAGTTTTACGCCCTCGACTGCGAGTTTGTCTACACCACAGTTGGCAAAGAAGCTGCTCGGATTACTGTAGTGGACAGTTACGGTAACGAAGTGATGGATTGTGTGTTTCGACCGGAACACGAACTTGTCGATCCGAATACGCGATATTCGGGTTTGACCGTCGAAGACATCCAAAACACCGATCAGACGCTAAGTGATGTAAGCGATTTGATACTTCGAAAGTTAGAATAGGCGGCTAAAACTAGTAAAAAAAAATTCCAGTTCCTTTCTAGGTGGATCATAGATAACTCTTACTGTTTTGTGTCATTTGGGACCCTAAAAAAAGATTTGTGAACTCGATATTCGATTCTTCTCGATTTCCAGATTCGAGAAGTTCTCTTTGAAATGATCAATTCTGAAACGCTGCTGATTGGACATGCCCTTGAAAACGACTTGAAAGCTCTACG